ACTTTTATACATTTATAGTTCCTCCTCCAGGTTGTGGTTATTAGCCTCTGCAGTGGACAGATGTAGATTTAGCCAGAGCCAGGTGCAAAAACATAATTTATAAAATATATATTTCATAAATCATATTTTTTTAAATAAAAAACTGAACTTCACCTGCCTTCCAGCTCCCCTTTCTATACCTATACTATAGCACTATAGCTGCTAAAAACTCTCAGCTTCCACCATCTACTGTTACCCCTTCTGTGTCAAAACAAAACTCTTCCAAAACAAACTAAAGTAAACTAAAGCCTAATTAAAATAATAAGTAAATCCCAAAAAAAGTTATATAGGTATACGTTTATGAAAATTATTTATTAAAAAAATGTGATTTATAAAATATATATTTTATAAATCAGGTTGAACTCTAAAACTGCAAGAAAATCAAAGCCATGCATCTAAATAGGTTGTGTTCCAAATTTGAGTTGGATAGGCCTATCTCAAAAAAATGAGCTTTCGGTAAGAGTTTGTTTGGGTGCAGTAACAGATTTTCCCCATTGGGTGCCAGCAAAACTCCACTGGTGCACACAGTGATTGGATTTTAGATTTGCAAATGAGTTTTTCTCTCTCAAATATTACAAGTACACAAACACATATACACACACAAAAAATGTATTACACACATACAAACCACACTCTGACATCCACCCACACAATTATTGTTAATAAGCAGAAAACAGGAATAAAGCAACTGGCACCATCTGGTAAAAAAATTAATTAAAAAAATAGTAAAAATAAAAATTTCGGAGCCTTGCCAACAGAATAAAACAAAGAAAATGTCTTAACAAAGATTGCATCATTTTATAGTTAAATGGCCCTGGGATTAAAAATGGGGGTTTCAATGGGGACATTGTTGTCCAAAAGGCGCTGATAGGGAGTATTTTGTGTACCTAATGCAAAATTATTATTATTTTTTTAAGAAAATGGCGGTGAAATAGTAAAATTTCATAAAAATACACACCTGTGCCAAATTAGCATTAACACAGGTAAAGTGATAAAAAAAAACTGAAAAGGACAAAAATGTCCATAAGGATGCACAAGGGTTAATCCAGCTTGTAGTTCTCATTAGTTACTTGTGTGTGAAACCCACTTGGTCAAAAATGAGCTGGGACTTTCAGATCTTTTAGCGCTTTTTGGGGGTTTAATTCTGTTTGGTGAACCACCGGGTAAAGGCAGTGCTCTGTACTTACTTGTGTAAAGTAAAATAAAAGTGTTTAGTTTTTTATTTTTAGTTTTTTAGCATTTAGTTTTTCTCCCTGGTACTCGTGTCAGGGCCTCCCCAATACCTGTCCTGGAGGATGTGAGCCTGTGCACTGTGTGCAGGGTTAAGGACTGATGATAGTAGCTGGACTGGCCCCTTCACCTACCGTCACTCTCTCTTCAAATAAATGCTGGACAGGCTGCAGGACAAAGCAGAACACCACTCCTTCCTCTGGCACCATAAACGGGCCTTGTTGTCACTTTCAGATATGTATGGTTTATGTTAAGCCACATCTTTTTGGATTTTGTGGCACTACTTTTGTGGAATTGGATGATGTCAGCTTATGACTTTACATTTTTTCTCAATTGTTTACACACAAATTCTGGTACTTGAGACACAATGACCACAACATATAACTCATTCGCCAACCCCCTGAACCGATTCTGATGAACTACAAGCACAATTCCTGCTTTACACTCAAATTGCAGCTCTAAAACACACTTTTTTCAAAACACTACACACAATTCTCTGCATTTGGCACAATTTTCATGCAGAAAATCTCTTGTTTTCATGAGGAACACACTGCCATTCAAATATTCACACTGACTCGTCACATGGGCAAACACATGTCACACAGTTTTACAATTAGCGATCAGAGCTTTAGCATAAAATACCAAAACCAAAGAGAAGATGCAGCATAGATTTTTTATTTTATTTATTTTTTTACTGTAACAGCATAAAAAATTCTGTTGTTTTGTATGTAGACCACTGTATGTGCAACTTTGTGTTGGTTGGGGTGTACAAAATGTGGGATCTATCTCCCATTGATTTTGTGGGAAAAATAAAATATATTTGTTACCGTGTATTTGTGTGTTCTGGGTATAAAAAACAATATTCTCAAATATTTTACAACACAGTTATGTATGTAATATCTGTAGTAAGTGTAACACTGAACAAAAAAGGCCTAAGTCATTATGATGAATGGAGAAGAAGTGTTTTCCATTGATCGTAGTGTTTTACATTGAGCACATCAGTGTTCAACTGGTTCTTATAAATGTCTATTCATATGATGGTTTGTGTGTGTCATTTGAAAACAAAATACCATTTTGAGAAGAAATAACATTGTTTTGAATGTAAAGTTTCATTTTTCAGGAGAATTGAGGGGTTTTGCCCATTGTGTGAGTGTTTTTAGATTTGTGTGTAGAGTTCTGAGAATATGAGGCATTCTTTCAGAAAATGTGTGTAAACAATCGAGAAAAACTGTAAAAAGAGTGAAAGAATCTGCAGCTGGGCAAGATGGAGTAAGCTTTAGTATGATCAAAAATGTAAGTAAAAAAGCATTGGGAGTAATATTGGAGTTGCTAAACAGGATATGGGTGGAAGGAGTGTTACCTAAGAGCTGGAAAGAGGCAATAGTTATTCCCATAAGGAAACCAGGTAACGATCATAGTATTCCAACAAATTATAGACCAATAGCACAAACTTCCCATGTATGTAAAATAGTGGGAAAATTGATTACAGACAGGTTACAGTATTATTTGGAAAAAGAGAAGTTGTTATCTATAAATCAGAACAATGAGAGGAACAATGGACCCAGTAGTTTGCTTAGAGACAGATATTAGAAAGACATTGAGTAATAAAGAGATTGTGATAGCTGTTTTTTGACATTGAAAAGGCTTATGACATGGTGTGGAGAGAAGTGTTGTTACTGAAACTGGAAAAGAGGGAGAATGTATAATCGGATCAAAGAATTTCAGATCGATCAATTAAAGTAAGAGTGGGAGAGTGCATATCATCAAAAGGTATGTTAGAGAATGGTACTCCTCAGGGGAGTGTCATTAGTCCATTGCTTTTTATAATCATGATAAATGATGTATTTAAGAGGGTGGATAAAAATATTTGCAGATCTTTGTTTGCAGATGATGGAGCTTTATGGTTCAGAGGGGGGAATATAAAGTATGTCGTGAGGAAAATGCAAAATGCATTGAAAGAAGTGGAGGAATGGTCACTAAAGTGGGGATTTAAATTTTCAGTGGAAAAAACTCAGGTTATGTTTTTCACAAATAAAAGGATTGACGATGAAATCAAATTAAAAGTGTATAACATCAGTCTAGAACGGGTATCCAAAATAAGGTTTCTTGGAATCTGGTTCGACAGTAGACTCACATGGAAAGAGCATATTGAGAAGATAGAGCAAAAGTGTAAAAGAGTGTTGAATATAATGAGATGTGTGTCTGGCAGACTGAAAACCATTTATGTAACGTTAATTAGATCAGTAATTGATTATGGAAGCGTAGTATATGGATCAGCAGCAAAAACTCACTTGGACAAATTAGAGCGAATTCAAGCAAAAGCATTAAGGATTTGTTGTGGAGCGTACCCATCTTCTCCTGTTTCAGCGCTGCAGGTAGAGGTACTGTAGGAGATATGCCTCTCAAGTTAAGAAGACAACAGTTAAATGCAGTATACTGGGCAAATCTTATGGGACAGGATGAATCTCATCCTACTTTAAGGGTATTAGAGCAGTGCTGGGAGTATGGGAAAAAGAAGTGTGATAGTTTTGGATGGGTGATTAGTGATTTAGTAAAAGAGTTGGGTATTAAAGAGCTAAAAATTACTCCAAGAGTGGTGATACCAGCTGTCCCTTTGTGGATAATGCCACAGCCAGAAGTTGATTTAAAAATATTAGAAATCAGGCAGAAAGAAGGTCAGAGTGAAAGAGAGGCAATCCAGGTAAGGGACTCCTTATGGTTAAATTATGGACATAAAGTACAGGTATTTACAGATGCATCAAAAAATCCAGACAATGAGCATGTTTTGTTGTTCCAAAACTACAGATACCCAGGAAAATAAGAATATCAAAAGTCTATCAGTTTTCACAGGGGAATTAGTTGCAATAATGATGGCATTGAGATGGATAAATGAGGCAGGATTGAAGGATGTGGTTGTATGTTCAGACTCTAGTTCTGCTCTTATGTGCATTGAAGCACAACAGTCCAATACAAGACAGGATAGAGATAGCACAAGAATTATATATGTTACAGCGGAAAAGAGTGAGAGTAAAATTCATGTGGGCACCGGCTCATGTTGGGGTAAAAGGGAATGAGGCAGCAGATAAAATGGCTAAACAAGCATTGCAAGAGGACAGAATAGAAATGGATATAGCATATAGTAGAGATGAAATTAAAGCAATAATTAAATATCAAATAAAACAAAGATGGAAACGAATGTGGGAAACAGGAATTAAGGGAAGAAGTATGTATGCAATTCAACCAAAAGTGGGGAAAAAGAGGTTCTCGGGTGGAAGTAGAAGGGAGGAAAACATAATATCAAGACTTAGAATAGGACATACAGGACTTGATAAAACACTGAAATTAATATCCAAGCATCCAACAGGACTTTGTGAATGGTGTGGAGAGAAAGAAACAGTAGAGCATGTTATCAGGTATTGTGAAAAATATAAAGAGGATCGAGATAAATTATTTGAAGAGATTCAGAGAAAAGAGGAAACGGACATAACTTTGAGAATAATATTAAAACCAGAACAGGAAAATGATAATAAAGAAGCATTGTTTAGATATTTAAAAAATACAGGATTAATTGACAGGATTTGAAAGTTTTTTTTTAAGCCAGAGGAGCTGAACACGCAGCGCTGGTTATGTTTATATAGTGGGTAAGAATGGGAAATGGGGCTTGAAGTCTCTGGATCACGGTAGGTGGCGGTAATGCACGAAATCGATGCGACTCGCCAATAAAAGGAAGAAGAAGAAGAAGAAGAAAACTAAAGCAACACCTGTCCACACCCAAACCTGTCGCTCACTGGAATTGATTTCATCTATGATTCAGAAAACATGTCTACAAATGTCGATTTAGCACAATCCCTACCAAATATAAGACTGCAAGTAAGTTTATTACATTCTCCATTACAGTCATTTGTAATTATTAGGAACTCAGTTCATATTGTATATTAAGCGAGATTTAAATGTGAAGTTACAGAAGGCTGTTCTTCTGCTACTCTGAACAGAAGAAGAATCTGACAGAAATTACAATCTTTTGAAGTAAAAACACAAAAAGTTTTATTGAGAAACGTTTATTCAACACGAATATGTTTATAAAACGTTTTCTCCCATTTCCTCTTCCGTGTTAGGCTGTTGTTTTTGTGATGTGAAATCGAAAGTATTTTTGAAGAAGACATTTACAGTAGACAGACAGATGAAGCCTAACGTCAATCAGCAACAATCTGCTGTTATTAAACTGAATAGACAATATATCAAATTGAGTTCAGTTTTCCAGCTCAGTGTACATTTCTGTTCCCCAATTAATTCATATTTAGAGTCAGTTAAACTCATTAGCCTAAATAATCAAAAACTATTTTATTTGATCGATTGTTTTTGTTGTTTCTGTTGTTGATGATAAGTCTTTATTCTTCAATAAGATGTTGTTGATGTGTGTAAATGTTGTGATTTGCAGGTGATGCTGAAGGATTGAGTGTTTTCTGATCAGTTTTCAGGGTCAGTTTAGCTGCAGTATGTCAGAGGAAAGAGGAAAGGACTCTCTCTCTCAGATGAGTCTCTCAGAGAAACACAGGTGAGACTGCGTCTGTTTTCACACTCTCACTTTAAACTCCACTGGACTTTGTGTTTCCCTGTCAATAACACAACTTTAAGCATTGCTCTGTATTTGCAAATCTTAAAATAACTCTGCCAGTGTCCATAAAGCCCTGTTTGCTCTATAGAAAATATCACAGTTAATAATTTGTTAATAACCTTCTAGACGCTGAATTAATCCAAATAAATTACTTTAGTTTTTAGATCATAAAATTATTTATAGACATTAGAAAACAACTATACACTTAATTTAATTCAAGTATGCTAACAAAACTGTCACACAGACATTTCTGCTCTCTATTCTGTCAATAATCAAAAACTTGAAATGTTATCTTAAATTATGGTCAAGTATCTTATAAATCCCCAACATGTTTAATCTCACTCATGTATATTAAAGAAATTGTTAAGCCTAATGTGAGCCAGTAAATAAAATGATGGTTAACTATAAAACTGTTAATGGGCTCTATGCACGGCGGTATTTCCAGTGAAGGTTTAAGGATGCTCAATAACTCCCGCCGATCGTAGAGTCCAATGCAATACCGAGAATTTATATTGAATTTTATACTCCATGGTTATAGTAAAGAAACATTAGTCACATAAACAGATAAAACAGACCCTTAGTTGTGCTTATGCTTCTTTTTTAAAATTATATTAGATAAACATAACTATATATAAAATTACATCTAAACCTATGAAAGTTTCATTTCAAAGACGGGAGGAAAGGACATTTTGAAGACTCTGCCATAATCCCGTTTTCCTCGGTTTTCCTCCGCTTTAATCTCCCCAACCGGAAACAGACGAGCATCCTTATGTCAAATGTGGAACTTATGCATGCATATAGCCCATTGTGTGAGTGTGTGTGTTTCTGTGGAGGATAAGATGAAGACACAGATGTGTTTCAGACACAGTTGATCCTCCTTTACTAAAGTGTTTTCTCTCTCTCTCTGTTCTTTGTGTCATCAGTGTAAGATCAGGCTCACATGTGTCCAGCTCTGTGTCTCTGAAGAGTGATCAGTCTAAAGAAGGACTTTTACCAAAGTTCAGTGAGAAAACACCATCATCTAATAAAAGGTATTGTGTGTGTTCAGAGCCGGATTAAATAAAAGGACTACACTTGGCAGACTGCATTTTTTGGGCCCCCCTCTATCTGTGTTATTTATGAATTGAAATCTGAAACTTTCAAAAGTTACTAATTAAAGTAGCTTTTACATAGCCTAGTCTTTGGTTACAAATTGGTTGTTTGTATGCCAAAATAAGTCATGTGTTGTATTTTAAACAGTCTATCAGACTATTTTCTGATATTCATTATTCATACGTACACGGAGCTATATTAAATGCTATTAAATTATCCTCATCTTATCCATTGGGAGTGTCATTGTTAAGGCAGTAGAACCAGTAAATAACCAATAGGTGTCAGTAAACTCTCAGTAAACTTGTTTTCATTTAATCAACACATTTAAGATTTTCAGCAAAATACAATAGCTTACAACATTTATAACTGTTGTAATTAATAGCAAACATGAAGGCAAACATGACCCCTTCACATTCATCAAGACCAGTTAGAAACTGTCTAACAATAAATAATAATAAATATAAGGCCGAAGATTTAAACTATGGAAAACTAAAGGTATTCAGACTATTAAAGACTTGCGTATGGATGAAATACTTCTTACATTCAAGAATTGTGTGATAAACACCAGATTCCCTCAAAACATTTTTTTCAAATATTCACAGCCTAAAAGTTTTATGTCTTCCGGGTCTACAGATATTATGTACATTCCCAAACTGTCAGGAAATAATTGGAAAAAGAGGTGAAAAGGGCCATTTGTCAAATTATTATTTATCTAAAGAGTCTGCTGTAGACAAATTAAACACATGGAGGAAAGACATTCAAGACAAGAAGAAATAGGGGAATTTGAATGGACTGAAGTAGGCGCAAAAACAAATTATAAACACGCAGATTAAATTATTACAGTATGGTGACAAAGGTTTATATAACACCTGAAAAACTCAATCATATGTTTAGCAATATTCCTGATATATATACAAAATGCCAAAATAATAAAGGAACTGTAACTGTCTATGGGAATGTTCTGATATACACAAGTTCTGGAAGGATGTCATAAACTGTTTGTCAGATTTTTAATTTGAGGGGGGGAGTCTAGACTCTTTTTTTATTTTATTATTATTACATTTTTCTCCTAAAATGAATGCTCATTCATTGCATTTTTATAATGGGGTAATTTTGTTCTTAAGAATTTACACAACACAAGGAAGCTTGATTTCAATCTTTGAATAAAATTGAAAAAATAGAATATAGATAGCCTACATATAAAGAGAAAAGTTTTTGCTTAGGTCTGACACCAGTTTTCAGAAATAGTCCTACAGAGACTGAATAAAGTAATCAAATGTAAAATAACACTGGGTAGTGTTTTAGTCCTGAGAACTAAATTAAATACATAGTATATTATTCCTGATTCCTTAAAATGAAAGCCATGTTTTGTTGAATTTGACAACCAGATTAATGACAGACCATGGCTGCTGTCACTGAAGAGCTTGTGCACAGATCCTGTAGCCACTAACATAATGTCACGTGCGATGTATGCTTATTTAAAACAAAATGTTTAGAGGATACACACCAGTCACCAACACTGAAATATACATAATTGTCGCATGTTTTTGGCTTGTTAATCCACGAAAATAACTGTTGTTACCCGCGAGTGTGTGAGGCGGCTTGTATGTGTGCAGAAAAAACATCTCTCAGACAGCGCGCAAGTCTACCAAACAGTTCAAGATCGCCTGAATGTTTAAACTGGTAAGACTTCAGACGTGCAAAATGGTAAACTGTAGTTACTCATGATGCAATGCTGGCCCATGCAAATGACAATTCTGTCTATCCCGACTCCGAAACGCGATTGCCGCCTGAACGAGATGGGACATTTCTTTGATCAGCCAAACTCACATAAGAATATATATGGTTTAATCTGAACAACTATCATAAAGTTTTATACATATGTTTAGTATTAGTTGAAATGTCTCAGTGTGAATGGTACAAGTGTTCTATTTCCAGATTAGTAAAAGAAAAGGTAATACGGTTTTTAAGAGTTTAGGAATAACTGGCACACAAAGGAATGTGGTCTCGACTTCCAAAAGGTGAATGCAAAACTCGTGAATGCTAATTTCCACTGTTCCTTTCAAATGGTCAGCCCAGTAATTTCTACCCCAGTAAATCTGGCCGATGCTTCACATGTGTGCAGAGAGAGAGATGGTCTCACACACACACACACACACACACACACACACACACGTGTCTGACCACACAACAGCAGACGCTTTACATGTGTGCAGAGGGAGAGATGGTCACACACACACACACACACACACTCATGTCTGAGCGCAGTAACTTTCCCACTGTAAACTCATGTTCTACATATCAAAGGAGGTCTGGATATATAAAGAAATGCAACGGAGAGCTCAGGGCTCTTTTCTGTACTCAGATTAGCCCGTGTGGTTGAGGGTCTCGTGACTCTCAGCTCACGTAGCATACAATGTTGGGTTCACATCTTTTCCTCTTATTCTGGACCATTTAATTATGTGGATTGATGATCTTTGAACTGATTGTGAAATTGACATTATACATTTAGCTGACATAATAAATTGTTATATTTGATTATTCAAACAGATTTTGACTTTATTTTCATTAGAGTTAAAAGGAATAGTCAAACATTAACATGTATTAAATGATGCACAGATATCATTGAAAAACCTTTTCGTTTTATGGAGTCAGATGAGGCGAGTTAATACATAAGTTAAATTGTATTGCATTTAATAAAAAATCCCTTTGCCATGGGAAGAGACGAACACGGATGAAACCTTCACCTCTAATCGAATACCGCCATTGGATCGATTTAGCAGGCCTTACAAACCGTAGTTATAAATGAACAAATACACAGCTATACTACATTTAATTACTATTTACAATATTAAACCTTTTCAAATGTTCTTTGTATCATCAGTGTAAGATCAGGCTCACATGTGTCCAGCTCTGTGTCTCTGAAGAGTGATTGGTCTAATGTTCTTCCACCAAACTTCAGTGAGAAAACACCATCATCTAATAAAAGGTATTTTGTGTTACTCATTTTGTCACACGTTGACTCTTTAAAAGTTGTATCAGTGAATACCAATCATGAAACATGTTTTGGTGAAATATTTGTCAGGGTATTCACAGCTGATGCTTATTTCTCTTTCTGTAAAATATCAGTTAGTATTTTATTTTACTAATGTGATTACAGGCTTCAATATGAGACATTAGACTCAGACCTTCAGACTCACAGGAAACACGAGAATTTCAAAGACAATCTTCTTGGGATCTTCCAGGTAGGAAAAAACATTTTTATAAATGTTTAATATTTATAACAAACAAATATGTTATTGACCAAAAAATTTAATTAATCTTTTTTTTCCCTTTTAAACACATTTTAGCATAACTTGGTTAGCATGTTATTCTTTTAACTGGATTTTTTATATACATGGATCATAATTATTGAATAAATAGTTGATACCAAATGTAGATGTACAATTTGGCTTAAATTGTGTATTCTGCCTTTTCTTTTACTTTTGTTTGTAGGATCTTGAGAGGAAAATAATCACATTTCTGAAGAATGAACTGGAGAAGTTAAAGAAAATATTACAACATGAGAACACACAACACTTTGTGAAGGACTTTAATGAGAACAGATCCAGTATCAGAGAAGCCGCTCTTGATCTCACACTACATTACCTGAGAGAGATGAAGCAAGATGAAGCTGCTGATGCTCTAGAAGGCAAGAGACTCGTCATCATCTGTCTGATTGTCTCTTATAAATGTAGGAGAGAAAATGAAGACTAACACTATCTATTTTCTGTTCCTGTGTTTAGATGAGCTGTTCTTCATTCATCAGCTGAAATGTGGCCTAAAGAAAAAGTATCAATGTGTGTTTGAAGGAATGTCGATGCAAGGTGACTCCACACTCCTGAATAACATCTACACAGATCTCTACATCACTCAGGGTGGCAGTGAACAGGTCAATACTGAACATGAGGTCAGACAGATTGAAGTTGCTTCCAGACGTCATGAAGCACAAGAGATACAGGTTGAATGCACACATTTGTTTGAAGCGCCTGAACAAGACGAGGAGATCCGAACTGTACTGACAAAAGGAGTCGCTGGCATCGGGAAATCAGTCTCTGTGCAAAAGTTTGTTCTGGACTGGGCTGAAGGAAAAGAAAATCAAGATATCAGCTTCATATTTCCTCTTCCATTCAGAGAGATGAACTTAAAGGAGAAAGAAAAACTAAGTTTGATGGACCTTATAACTCAGTTTTTCCCAGAGACAAAAGGACTGAACCTTACAAGAAGGAATCAGTTCAAAGTGCTGTTCATCCTTGATGGACTGGACGAATGTCGCCTTCCTCTGAAGTTTGATTGTAATGAGACGTGGCGTGATGTATCATCACCAGCCTCTCTGGATGTTCTCCTAACGAACCTCATGAAGGGAAATCTGCTTCCTTCTGCTCTCGTCTGGATCACCAGCAGACCAGCAGCTGCCAGTAAGATTCCTCCTGACTGTATCGACCGGCTGACAGAGATACGAGGATTCAGCGACGCACAAAAGCAAGAGTACTTCAGAAAAAGATTCAAGGATGATATTCAAGCCAACACAATCATAGATCATGTTAAACAATCAAAGAGTCTCTTTATCATGTGCCACATCCCAGTCTTCTGCTGGATTTCAGCCACTGTTCTCCAGAACATTCTGGAGGAGAAGAGAAATAATGATGTGAGAAACACTCAGGCTGATGAGATCTCTAAAACACTGCAGGAATCAAACACTGAAGACACTCCCAAGACTCTGACACAAATGTACACACACTTTCTCCGCTTTCAGATCCAGCAGAGCTGCCGGAAATATGATGGAGAATACACACCAGATGTTTCCTGGGATAAAGACACCATCCTTTCACTGGGGAAACTGGCATTTCATCAGCTGGAAAGAAACAACCTGATCTTCTATGACACAGACCTGGAAGCCTGTGGTCTTGACGTCTATAAGGCATCAGTGTACTCAGGCATGTGTACCCAGATCTTTAAGAAGGAAACAGGGATCGTTCTTGGTACCATGTACTGCTTTGTTCACTTGAGCATTCAAGAGTTTATTGCAGCCCTTTATGCACATCTGTTTCTAGACATCAACAAGACAAGTGTGTTTGATCATGAGTCTACAGAACAGAAAAACAGAAATGAAACCATGATTGATTTTCTCAAGACTGCAGTGGACAAGGCGCTGGAGAGTGACAATGGACACCTGGACCTTTTCCTTCGATTCCTCCTCGGTCTGTCACTCCAGTCCAATCGACGACTCTTACGAGGTCTGTTAACACAGCGAGACGGCACTGACCAGAGCAACAAGGGGATAGTTCGACGACTCTTACGAGGTCGGTTGACAAAGAAAGACGACACTGACCGGAGGAACAAGGAGATAGTTCAGTACATCAAGCAGAAATTAGAAGCTAATCTTCCTGCAGAGAGATCCATCAATCTGTTCTACTGTCTGAATGAACTGAACGACCAAACTCTGGTGAATGAGATTCAGACCCACCTTAGCAAAGGAAGTCTCTCATCTGGTGACCTTTCACCTGCCCAGTGGTCTGCTTTAGCCTTTGTGTTGTTGACATCAGAGGAAGAGCTGGAGGAGTTTGAGCTTCAGAAATTCAAGAAATCAGACGAGTGTCTCATCAGATTATCGGCAGTCATTAAAGCCTCCAGAAGAGCTCTGTAAGTCTTTTATATATTTTGTCATGTTTAGCTCTCATCTGAAAAAGGCATTTATCTCAATAGTTATTCCCCATCATAAACATGAAGCTATACCTGCGTGTGTGTGTGTGTGTGTGTGTGTGTGTGTGTGTGTGTGTGTGTGTGTGGAGACAGTTTATCACAATTTAAGACAAAATATTAAATATCTTGTGAAAATGTTTGCATGATTGTTTTGTATCATATGATACACCAGACTTGTATGACTTGTTATATAGAATTATATTATCACATACTCATACTTGAGGTAGAAAAAAAAGGCATATTTTATTCATATACCCAAACTGGGGGGAAATAATGTAATTTGGTACAGAATAGATGTTATTTATATTTCCAAAACGTAATATGAAATTTTGAAAGGTTATAGATAAAACATTGAGATTTTTATAAAACAGGCTACTAAAATAAAATACCTACATCTCACCACATCATATACTAGTTGTCCCTCAGTTTCTCCCAGTAATTATATATTTAAATGCTTATTTCTTTGAGTAATTCTGTAGTTTATAGGGTTAGTTCGGTATTTTACACTTAAAGCTGCAATACCTAAGATTTAGATGCCGCTAGAGGGCGCTACATTCAAAACAACAATAATGGCTTTGCTTGATGACGACGTGGAGGAACGCGGAATGATGGGAACTGTTGTTTTCAACTCCACCGTGGGTAAATCAGTCAGACGGGAATCGAAAATTAGTTGTCATGGATGAGGTAAAGTTCGCATTCTATAAACGTTGCGTTTAATGACATGCTTGTTTTTCATTAAACTGAAATAACCGCGCAAGAAAAGTCAGGTTTAAAAGTAAATTAGTTATCACAGATGTTACTGTACGAGTCACTGGATGAAGCTATGGTGGAGAGGGTTTGAAGGGGCAGGTCTCTTGCAAGGAGTTGACGTGGCTGGTCCTCCTTGGTAACTTTATAAAAAATAAAAAATCAATTTAATGTACATTTGACACATCTTTTCATGTCGTGTAAGTATTCAACCACAGCTACAGTTTCACAAAATTAACGTTAAGGGGGTCGCACACCGGACGAGATGCTGCAGCGCCGCGTCGCACCACATAATTATTCGAACACACTATTATCTATAAGTGTACACATACCGGCGGCGCCATTCGGCGTCTGTCCGCGGCGCCCAGCAACGCCTCAGGACCGTGTTCAAAATCCTGCTGCGCCACAGAGCGGCATTTACACAGTTTTATATAAAATTTTAATTTATTTTTGTCTCAAACAGTTGCTAATGGATCCTGACTTTGCCCTATGCTGCAATATGCATTTAGTTTTGCAGTGATTTACAGAAATTAGCTGCTTGAATGACAATGGCTGATGTTATTATTAGATTTTTCAGGTGAGATTCTTAATTCATTCAGTGAACGGATGCTCTGAGGTAAAGTTTTCAGAATGCAGACTCAGCAACGATTGTATTTAATTGTACAGTACAATCATAACATAGAACAGACATTATCTTCATTTTCTGTCATTAAACATAACAATATTGCTGGCCATACACTGATGAGAAAGTGCGCGTCTGGTGTGCGATACTGTGGAGTTGTCCTAAACGTGGCGCGACGCTTCTCGTCCGGTGTGTGACCCCCTTTACAGCCAACAGTTCACATTCCGAGAATAAATGAAAAGAATAATTGTGCTCCATTCCATAACAAATGCGCGAAACAAGCTGTCGTTTGATAGACGCTAACGCACAACTACAACTACCGCATTTGTCCAGGACTACACGTAGTACGAGCGGAAACCGAGGTAAGCGGATATGATGCGATTGAGTCACGACTCCTAGCTCACCCCTGCTCACACGTCCCGTTTCCTTGGTTAAAATCTCAATTTTCTCGCGATTTAAACATTGTTTGAAACATATGGAATATTGTGAGTTATCATCTTAACTAAATATATTACACCGGCCTTGTGATTTTGGGATATTTTCATGCAAAAAACTTAGGTATTCCACCTTTAAAGCCCTGTTTTAAGATCGTTTCTGATGAAATAGAACGGTTAAGATTGAAATTTGGACAAATGCTGCTGTGCCGAGAATTTTAGGTTTGTGTGTTGGCACCCTCCACCTACACAATGGTTGTCTATGTGCACTGGAACAATCATTCATAAAACACATTAAACTTTAGTTTACAAAGACGTGAAACTCACCAAGGGGTCTGGGGTGTTCACTGATATGCTCACACAAAAATCACTGCAAAAGAGGCTTTCCAACAGGTTTTATTGTAGTTTTTGCAAAAACAGTATTGCAGTAGACATACAATTTAAAAGAAAAGAAATACAACAAATTAAATGTATTTTGCTATTACATTATATCTTCATACAAAAATAAAAACTTTTGCAACTAAAAAGTGCAAAATGCCAAGCTTTGGCCAGATTTCAAATACAAGTCAAGTCAAGTCACATTTATTTATATAGCGCTTTTCACAATACAGATTGTATCAAAGCAGCTTCACAGTGATAACATGAAAGTAGCACAACACAGATCAACAACATTGCTAAACACTAAATAACCCCAACTGAGCAAGCACAAAGCAAGGCGACAGTGGCAAGGAACCAAACTCCATCAGATTGGATGGAGAAAAAACCTTGGGAGAACCCAGGCTCAGTCGGGGGCCAGTTCTCCTCTGGCTTACGTTCATATTGTTTAAATATAAATATTAAATATAAATATTGTTTATGAATCAAACGGCGCCATAACATATCGCAGGCGTTGAGTCGTCTCATCACAGGCGTTGAGTCGTCTCATCACAGGCGTTGGGGCATCCGAAATCCCCGTGAGAGGCTGGACACAAAACTGGACCTGACGAACGCCATTTTTCTCGGGACAAGCGTCCCGAGATAACAGCAGAAAGGCAGATGGGAAATAATTAGCATAGCTGATGTTCATAATGATTTCCGTTATACAGTGCCTTGCGAAAGTATTCGGCCCCCTTGAACTTTTTGACCTTTTGCCACATTTCAGGCTGCAAACATAAAGATATAAAACTGTAATTTTTTTGTGAAGAATCAACAACCGGTGGACACAATCATGAAGTGGAACGAAATTTATTGGATATTTCAAACTTTTTTAACAAATAAAAAACTGAAAACTTGGGCGAGCAAAATTATTCAGCCCCCTTAAGTTAATACTTTGTAGCGCCACCTTTTGCTGCGATTACAGCTGTAATTCGCTTGGGGTATGTCTCAATCAGTTTTGCACATCGAGAGACTGAAATTTTTGCCCATTCCTCCTTGCAAAACAGTTCGAGCTCAGTGAGGTTGGATGGAGAGCGTTTGTGAACAGCAGTTTTCAGTTATTTCCACAGATTCTCGATTGGATTCAGGTCTGGACTTTGACTCGGCCATTCTAACACCTGGATATGTTTATTTGTGAACCATTCCATTGTAGATTTTGCTTTATGTTTTGGATCATTGTCTTGTTGGAAGACAAATCTCCGTCCCAGTCTCAGGTCTTTTGCAGACTCCATCAGGTTTTCTTCCAGAATGGTCCTGTATTTGGCTCCATCCATCTTCCCATCAATTTTAACCATCTTCCCTGTCCCTGCTGAAGAAAAGCAGGCCCAAACCATGATGCTGGCACCACCATGTTTGACAGTGTGGATGCTGTGTTCAGGGTGATGAGCTGTGTTGCTTTTACGCCAAACATAACGTTTTGCATTGTTGCCAAAAAGTTCGAGCACCTTCTTCCACATGTTTGGTGTGTCTCCTAGGTGGCTTGTGGCAAACTTTAAACAACACTTTTTATGGATCTCTTTAAGAAATGGCATTCTTCTTGCCACTCTTCCATAAAGGCCAGATTTGTGCAGTATACGACCATTGTTGTCCTATGGACAGAGTCTCCCACCTCAGCTGTAGATCTCTGCAGCTCATCCAGAGTGATCATGGGCCTCTTGGCTGCATCTCTGATTAGTCTTCTCCTTGTATGAGCTGAAAGTTTAGAGGGACGGCCAGGTCTTGGTAGATTTGCAGTGGTCTGATACTCCTTCCATTTCAATATTATTGCTTGCACAGAGCTCCTTGGAATGTTCAAAGCTTGGGAAATCTTTCTGTATCCAGATCCAGCTTTAAACTTCTCCACAACAGTATCTCGGACCTGCCTGGTGTGTTCCTTGTTCTTCATGATGCTCTCTGTGCTTTAAACGGACCTCTGAGACTATCACAGAGCAGGTGCGTTTATACGGAGACTTGATTACACACAGGATTCTATTTATCATCATTAGTCATTTAGGTCAACATTCAGGATCATTCAGAGATCCTCACTGAACTTCTGGAGAGAGTTTGCTGCACTGAAAGTAAAGGGGCTGAATAATTTTGCTCACCCAATTTTTCAGTTTTTTATTTGTTAAAAAAGTTTGAAATATCCAATAAATTTCATTCCACTTCATGATTTTGGCCCACCTTTTGTTGATTCTTCAAAAAAAATTACAGTTTTATATCTTTATGTTTGCAGCCTGAAATGTGGCAAAAGGTCGAAAAGTTCAAGGGGGCCAAATACTTTTGCAAGGCACTGTAACTCACAAACTCTCCGTAACCCGAACTCTCCGCAACCCAACCATACGCGCCGACCCGTTTGTCTAAAAGGCTGTCGAGCCCCACTGGTGCGTTAAGCAGTTTCAGTGGCAAACGGTTCCGTATGGCATAACAGAGGACTAGAAGGTAAGCATTATGTGAATGCTTGACTAAAGAGATGCGTCTTTAATCTAGTTTTGAACTGTGTCAGCGAGTCAGAGGCTCGGACCGTATCGGGAAGGCCATTCCAGAGTTTTGGAGCTAAATGCGAGAACGCCCTCCCTCCTTTACTGGACTTCGATATCCTAGGAATGACCAGAAGCCTTGAATTTAGTGATCTTAAGGAACGCGGTGGATTGTAGGGCGAAAGAAGGTCCGTTAAGTACATAGGTGCTAAACCATTTAGGGCTTTATAGGTCAGTAGCAGTATTTTGTAGTTGATACGGAAC